CGTTTGATTCCCTGCAGCTGAGTCTCCCATTCATGTAGCCACGAATAAACCTCCTGACAGGATATTTCTGTCCACTCGCAAAGTCCCGCCCACTGCTTGAACAGCCCGCAACAAACCGATGGGCCTTTTCTGGCGTCTCCGCCTTTGTTTGATGCCACGGCTTCTGTTGATATCAGCATGTACCCATAATGCTCTGCAAGAACCAAAATTTAACATGTTTTCCCGCTGCAGCAGCAGTGACAGAAATAAGTCTGGCATCTTAACAGCGCGACTCATTACTGGAGTATGAGCCTTGGTTTTTCAAACTCCACTGTTATGTTTTCATGCATCGTCCCAGAATCAGTTTAGTCTGAGTCGTCGGTCGGCAGTGCATGAAAATGCAGCAATTTGCTGTATCACGTCTCCTCCTGCTCAGTGTTTCTTCCTCTGTTTTTCTTTTCATTCTTCTGCGATTCTTTCTTTCGCTTTGCTCCATTAGTTTCTCAAACTGTCATCATTGCCCTTCCCCTCCTCTCTGTGTGACTGGATGAGAGCCGACAGACTCCAGTAAGCCCTCTCCGCGGCCTCGTCCATTAGCTCTGCCATGCGTTCAACTCGCCTCACCTCCCCGACTGTGTCTATTATGGAACAGAGTCGGCAGGCCCGCCGAGACTCGAAGACGGTGCCAGGGAGATCTCAGACGGGTGGCAAATCAGCCTCATGATGATATGATAATCTGTTCTGGGTTAATGAATGCTCGGTTACACTGGTGCCATGACCTTCTTTGTACATGTGTAGGGAGAAGGTGGGAACATCTGCTTCTGTGTGTGCTTATGTCGCCATGTGAGCTAATATTTTTACCTCACACATCCCTGTACATTTGTGGTCTTGGTGGTTGCATCACTGTCTTATTTAAAGTGCTCCAATTGGAGTTAATATGTAGCAACAGCAGTTTATAGGTGACGATATTAAACGATGCAGACAAGGTGCCCCTCTGTAATTTAAGCCAGTTCTCTCTGTTGGACGGCTGGGATTGTGCTACATATATTACATTTATTTGGGGGGAATACATTTTTTTTTCCACACTTTATTTTTTGCCTTTTCACCACAGACAGACAACACATACACACAAACAATAAATAAATAACTCCTGTGAAATATGCAGGTTGTGTTATCGTTCACATGTAGACATCGTCCGTTTCTCCCACTTCTCACGACATCGCTCCACTTGAGCTCTTATTCTGTGAGTTAACGGTTCCATATCATATCATTTCATTCACAATTTTCAGCCATCCACCGTCAAAAAACGCAAGCATCACCGACGCACAAACCCGTATAGCAGACCTGGATCAGATGAGAGACACGCTGCTGACGGTAGTGGAACAAAACCCGAACATGCACAGCGCCATTGTTGATCTGGAGAGCCGTTCAAGGAGAAGTAATCTCCGCATTCATGGAGTCCCAGAAGATAAAGAAGGGAGATCGGTCACTGAACTTGTAACTGAGTTGTTTAAAAGCCATCTCACGCTTCCCGACGGCGTTGACGTCAGAGCCCCGATCCCAAAGACCTCAACTCCGAGATCAATAACAGTTAACTTTCTACAGTTTAATGTTAAAGAACTGGTCCTTAACAACGCGTGGCAGCAGAAGATTGGACTTGATGGCAAGCGACTTCTTCTTTGACAACGACCAATGCAGCGGACAAAATGGAAAGACGCAATAAGGCATACGGGCCGATCAAAGCGGTGCTGAAGGAGAAGGGGACCCCGGTACCAAGATACGAGTGTACTGGGACGCCTGCGGGTCTACGAGAGCGCCGACGAGGCTGCACGCGACCAGAACACACGTGGGATAAAGGTGTCGGTGACGGAGAGGCTGAACGAGGTGTTGCCGTGGAAACGTACCGACGCGACCGACAGCGCAGCCCGGCGTGCCAGAGAGAAGCGCACCGAGTTTAGACGGAGCCCACCGGGTTCAGACCAAGAGATCGGAGTGAAGTGGACCAGATAGGTAATAAGCACTCTAGATCTGAACTGGGTTTCTGTAGACTGTCACTGTGAGATAGGCAATGGGAGAGACACAGATATTGTTATTATTTGTAACTGCTATTTTCCAACCGGAGGTCTGGAGGTTGAGGCTCTGACTTCTCGTTTGTTTAGTTCGGTCTCTCCCAACGGACAATATGCAAATATGTTGCTGGATTTAAAACACTCATTTAAAACACTGTATATTAAGGTCACAGGTCATTCTAAAGGCAAGTTTATTTCTGTTCCACAGTTCATAAACGGTGCAGTTTTTTTAAAGAGCATATTAAAACAATTGGAGATGACCAAAATGCTGCGCAAGAAAGTGAACAGCAAAACAATGGCGAGTTAGTTAACATCAGCAAAAGCAACAAAAACAAAACAATAAATGTCAATAGGAAAAAAACAAGGCAACATCATAATATGTGCAAACTATTAAGGTACATTTATTGAAAAAAAGATGATAAAATATATCCAAACCACTCAAAGGCCATCACACATATGTTCATACAGTTAATAAAGATTCCTCATGTATTCACATGTATTTGGTACATTAGGTTTCCATAATAACTGTCAAGCTGTACCTGATGATGTCCAGGTATTAAACACAGAAAGGGCATTGTCTCATACACGAGACAGATTTAATATACGATGCCATCGATTTAATACGCTTTACTGTGACTTGCTTTTTGAGCCGGGGTCCATCTTTTCCCAATATGTAGACATTAGAGCTTAAATGTATGAATGTGAATGCAATTTGTGCCATTTGGAGGATGCTTCTGTCCAAAGCACCTTATCTTCTGACTTCATATCTATAAAGAAGGATGGATGTTTGTTAGTTTGGTACATTGTGTGGATTTGCATGAGCCTGTACACGGTTGGACATGTAACTCACAGGCCGTCCTTTAGTCTGAGTCTATACGTATTTGAAGATGAAGCCTCCCGACAGGCTCATGTATGGAGTTGTACTTTAAGATAATTCACCAGGACACTTTCAGAAGTCGTTGTGCTCAAACCGTCTGTACAGCTGACCTCTGACCTCTCATCTCCAGCAACCTCAGGTTGTCATCTCTTCATGTGAGCAAGTTGAGCCGTGGAAACATGACATTCAGTCAAAATCCCAAAAGCTTCATTTGTGGATCTCTTATTAAATTAAATCTGTTATCAAGAGATACTGTTGATCATGATAATTATGATTATAGATAACGAATAGAGGCCATGATGGTAACGTTCTTATGGAGGTCTGCTTCTTTAATCCTTAATCCTCATAATTTGTCTCCCTGTGTAGGTCAAAAGGAAGGACCGCATGATGTATGAATACATATACAATAATAATATAGACACAAAGTGTGATATCTTCGAGGACAAGCCATCTACATATTCACAAACTCTCTTTGAATATAGTGAGTGAATCTCACGCTTCGGTGTGAGCATGTTACTTTTAGATAGTGTTGCATTGTGGGTTGTTTGTAGCTTGCTAGGGGTGTCAGATCTGGACTTTATACAAAAAGTCGATCAAAAGGAGCTTTTGATTCTCAAAGTATGTTTTTCTTCTCCACCCCCACATATTCTCGCACGGCCAAAGATAAATCATGCTTGAAGTCTACTGACACTTAGAATGTATTTTTGCTCTTATTATACATTTGCAACGCCAATTTTTTGGACATTTCAAGACCTGAATTGTTAACATCGATGTATGCTATCGGTCTTCTTTCCCTCCTGACTTTCAGCTGCTGCTTTGCTGTGTGTTTTAGCGCTTGTGTGCATCGCTCAAGACACAAACAACAGGAGCTTGCTCTTAATAACAGTGAAGAGGCTTCAAGGAAAATGGCAACATTTGATGACAGGCATGAAATATATTATTAGTAATTGTGAATGTTCAGTTTCTTTATAAAGAAGCTGCCCTTTGTGTTATTATTCATAACGTATGAATGATTTTGTTCCTTCTGCTGTTGGATTCGTGCAGAGGCGCCACTGCTTTAAATGTCCACATGATGAACTGGTTCTGACAGCTGCCCGTATGGCTGAAGCACAACGGGTTTTGTTATTCAGGCGGTAACTCTGCAGGTCTTGATCCTCCTCGGCCTCCTGCCGACCTCCCCGTCAGGCCGACCTTCACCGTTTACACTCACTCAACAGTCAGGGCTGGTTCTGTCACTGTTTCAGTGCAAAAATGAAATGAAGTATGAATAATAATGTATTTTTTTAAAAACCCAAGTTGTTCACAGTTCCCATGATGTATTGTTCCATCTTACTGGCTCCCGAATGATGTCTTTATTTTGTGTGCATTGGAGTTTAATTAACAAAATTTGAATTATTAAATATTGCTGCAACCCAGGTGAGAGTCACCACTTCTGTGAAATATCACATCTACATTCTCCAGAACTCAGGCGCTTCTCCCAAAATGGTTCCGATTGTCAAGTTTGAGATATAAAAGATCAACATAGTGAAATAACAACAGTTATATGAAACAATAAGAGGATGTGAAACGTGACCATGTACGCTGCTTCTTCACAGTGAGGCGCAGCAGCAAATAACATGGAGGATAAGTCGACCTCCACCTGCTGAATTGAAAGCTATTTGTTTATTATTTCATGGATTTGCTTACTCAGCTCCACCAGGAGATCTCTCGGGGAATATTCCACCGTTCACAAGAAAGACGGGGCCACGAATAGCTGCGTTTGTCTTTGAGATTATTCTAAGCATTGGATTTAATGTGGAGAGGCAGTTTTGAGAGGCAGCAAATTCATAGTTTTTTGCTAAATGCAAGATTATTGCACATTGTAGCACACACGGTGTCGGTCATTTGCCAGTAGAAGTAAAAATGTCAAAGAAAATTGCCGCATTTGCATAATTCTGACTTGGTTTGATACGTTTATGTAAATGTAATCTACTGAGTCCGCTGACAGCATGAATTGTTTTGTGTTAATTAAAAGTTCATCTTATGATAATATACATGATTATGTGAGTTTGCTAACTGTGATCTTGTGTCTGCAGGGACTCTCTGCATGTATGGTTACATGAATGTCAGCGCTGCAGGCCAGATGCCGGTGATGGAGGAGCTTGTCAGTGAGAGGTGAGACCTCATCAACAGTTATAGATAATCACTGTATTTGTGATGGAGCACCTCATGACGAGGTGACGTGGTTTGATGCACAACGCATCAAAACAAAAAGATAACTTAACAATCAAATGCAAACCTACAACATTTAGTATTCCTGCTTTTGAACAGTAGATAGACTGTTCTATTGCATGTGACCTTCAATGGCATCTTTGCACCCGAGCAGCCAAGTGGTTAACATGTACTTTGTTCAGATTTCCACTTGTAGTTAAAACGTAACAACTCACCTAAAGCTGCTGGCTCTGAATGCACTTCATCTCATCACTTTTCTTCTTCTTAATCTGCGATCGTGGATTCCCAAAGTCTTTAGTTTGTGTGAGGCAGAGCATGGTATGCGTTGAATGTGGACATTTCTAAACCAAAGCCAGAACGCACAATTCCGTGTGGTTAATGTTGTGCAACGATTGGTTAGGTTGAGACAACAAAACTGGTTTGTGTTAAAATGATAACGCAACAATTATCGCAATTAGCTTAACGAATACCAACAGCCCTGAGCGGCTTTCGTATGTACCGTCACTTCACAAGCTTGACAGTGTTTAGGTTTAACAGAGGTCTCCTGGGTGAAAGTCCTGTATTTGTGATCGTTATTATACAATTTAACCGTTTATTGCCAATGTATGTTGTACACACAATAGCGGTCATTTGCTCCGTCTTCATAAAGTGTTGGTGCACACAGCTGGCTGCTGCGTTGTTTAATGAACCGGTCTCAGAGGTCTGCAGATTGACTGCCCTCATTCCTTCTTCAAGGGCAAGCTCATCTTCAGATGTGTGGCTCAGCTGAGGAAACAATAGTCGGTTAAGTGTTTCTACTGCACGGCTCTCTGCCTCTGGCCCTCGGGCTGGTTGGCTTGATTGAAACAGGGATCCTGCTGAAACTGCAGGTGGTCTGCTTACGCTGCTTTGAGATGTAAAGAGGCACTTTTATAGCTTCCTCTGCCTGGCGAACTTCTATTTAGCCGGAGGCTAAGAGAGAGATTTAGATCTTTCTTCAATCGTCACTGTGAAGGCGCAGGCGGACTACGTTTTTTTTCTGACTGGTTGCTTTGACTCGCAGACGATGAAAGTGACAACAAAAGAGAATAAGAGTGAAAGAGACACAATAAAAGCACATGGACAGTACTTCAAGAATGAAATATGGCAATATTGTTGCTGACAGTATTTAGGCCCTTGAATTTGACACAAATTGCGTCAGAAAGGTCACGCCTCTATGTGTCACTGCTCAGTCACATCAAAACACAAAGACATCCCGCACATGTATCAGTGTTTGGCTGGAATCAACATGACTTACTTAATGTGAGGTAATGTGATCTCTAGTGTCCATTGCTGACCTCGACATTTTATGAGAAATCACAGACGAATGAATGTTCCATAAGACATGTCCCATAATGATCATGTCTAGACATTAACTCAGAGACTCTAACGGCCAGGCGGCGGGCGTAACGGAGGCAGAATAAGTAAAGTTGCTGAGCAACCATCAGCTGCTGCTGGCAAAATAAATGGCAACAGAAACTCATTTCTGCACAAAATGCATACCGTGCGTAAAGAAATGGTTTATTTTTACGTTTAATTGATCATAGTGGAAGAGTACTGTGATGAACATAGAAATATATTCATGACGTGGGTAAGAATGGCATTTCTTCTACTACCACAAAACATTAAAACAAATTAAAATAACTTATCTTCCCCCAGCGGCCTCTCAGCCCATTAAACTTAATGAAAAAGAACAAAAGTTCATTTTGAATGTGCTGCTGTGATAGAATGGCCAAATGATGTTGTCATTGGAAAAGGGGATTAATGTGGAAGCTACGGGTTTTAACAAGAGTAGTAAGACAAGCTTCTTTATGAGACGATAGAGTTTCACCACACGGCCCAGTTTGGACGGGATCCGGTTGATGGCAGTAATACGGAGCCTCAAGCTGCCTATAGAGAAACGGCTCTGACCAGCAGGAGCAGAGTGATTTATGAGTCAGTGTCACACCGGCCCACGCAGCGCCCTACGTACGTACATACATACATACATACTACTGTCACATATGTTACATATGTGTCGTCAAATGGAGTGACACACTCTCACATATTTAATCAGAATAACAGACAGTTTGTTGAAACAAGCAGTCGGTGTGATGAAATCGAGGAATAATGACATCAAGAAAAAGGAAAGAAAAAAACTTTCTGTGGAATCAAATCAAATAAATTAGCAAGCATCCATTGCTGTTGGGAGGGAGATCAATATTAGCATAATTCTCAATCTTCAACCCACTCATTTTAATTAGTGGAAACTCTGCATGAGCAGCAGTACGGCATCTCGTCGCTGTCTTATCGCTGTTTCAACATACATCCAGCCTGTGCAGTTCACTGCGTGTGCCGGGGTTTGTCCTCTGGCACGGATGATTCCCCAGTTACATCTTCTAACATCGGTTCTGCTGCCAGATCTATGATCACTTTCCTTCACGAGATTTAAAATATGTTAATCAGACAGAATTAGCTTGGTGGCAGCTTTAGATCATAGCACACATTATATCTAGGATTTTAAACACACGCTGTTTACATTTTTAAAGCAGCTTGAGTCAACCAAGTCTCTGAATGAATTATTAAATGCAAACAGATTTTTTTACACATGGACATGTTTGAAGCGCGTGTTGATTCCCGCTCGTTGCATGCACACAGTGTTTTCAAAATAAACTGACGTCTTCACAGGAAACTCAGTTTCAGCAAAACCACTTAGTTAGGTTTAGGAAAAGATTGTCGTTTGAGTTTTAAATAACCAAAGTATACGAGTTACGTGACAAAAACATCAACATCGACCTCTGGTTTCACACGTGGAACAAACAGCGGTCTCCTGGCGGACGATCGCTGTTTCTTGGATCCATTCACCTCCCCTCCCGCCCGCCCTGTGCGTGCATTAGTGTACTTTATACTTCCTTCTTTAAGATTACTTGGAAAACGTACGACAAAATTTCATGATAAATCTACGAATTACGGCGCATTATTTTTTGTAGGTATAGCTACGAATGTACGATGAGACCAGTCTGACTGTTTTCAGTACCGTAGATCTTCCATATTTACAGAGTGTGATGCAAAGCAAATACTAAATGATTGGTACTTTTACATCACACAATTACAGCATGTGCTGTTGTGTTTGCAGTGCTCCATCCTTACACTCAGTCAACATGACATATTTACAGTAATGTCAGCGTGGCTTAATGCAGGTGGAGCAGAACCTCTGTCCTTCCATCACAGCACACTGTTGACCTGAACCAAAAGTGCCCAGTGGTGTCTGCTGCACATGCTTTATGTAAGAGTGATCTTTCTGTATATAAGAAGTGGACGTAGTAATCGTGATGTCACCGAGTGACGTAGAGACACCGTATACGGCTCTGATAGAGGCAGCGACCTGTCAATCACCGTGTAGCCCCGCCCCTAAAGCATCCCCTGCTTTATGGTCTGTCTGACTCTAAATGGACCATAATGTACTAAATGAACATCATGCTGTATTGAAGAAGACTTGAAACTAGAGATTGAGACCATGACCTCATGTTTACAATGTTTACTGAGGTAATAAATCAAGAGATGCAGCAATGAGATCAAGTTCCGGGTCACAAGCTGGAGGATCGAGGTGCAAAATGGAGGAAATGAGAAGTGCCCCGGGTCCTCCACTCACTGCTGGGATGACAGAAGACATTGCACGTTTCAGCAGCGAATCTCATTATAGCGAGCATCAGCTGCCCTTGAAGAAGACCCTGCAGCTTCACCAGCCAACCTTGCGTGACAGAAGAATGCCCGTACTAATATCCATGGAGCGTCACACTGTAGCTATCTTTTACCAACACTTATATTTCACATGGCACAACACATCCTGCAACGTAATAGCTCATGTCAGGGACTGCTATGCAACCATCGAGCGCGGCCATCCCGGAACAGGCCCGCGTGCTGGAGCCATTAGTCAATACGATGCAGTCAGTCAGACTCATGGCGATCAGATAGCACCCAGCTTCTCCTTTCCCCTCCTCGAATCAGCTTTCCCTCTCGCTCTGCGGTTTACCTTCCGTCTCCTCTCCGCCTCAGGTGTCCTGTGACAGGTCCTGTTTTCTGGACGATTGCTTTCAACAGGGAAGTTTCAGCCAGCGTGAAGCCAAACAGCGCGATTGAAGGAGCGGGTCGCCTCTGCCTCCGCTCACGTTGTTATAGTACGATTGTGGATTGTTTGCTCACTCGTTCTTTTGTTTGCTCAGTCGTTCAGTTCACTCGGCTGTTTATTCTTTTGTTTCCCTCTATGCAATCCATTCATGGATGTAGCAAGAGATAAGTGGCGTAAACATCGCCCTCCAGGTGATGATACTGCCTATTTTCTTACAATGTACACATGCAGGGTGTGGCAGCGTTTGCTCTCTGTCCCCCCTCCATCAGGGATCCATTCATCACCCATCACGTCAGGCCACCTGTGCATAATGCTGACACATTGGTTCTTCGCTGCAGCGGTGGCAGCACAATCGGAGTCTATTCTTTCTTTTCTATCCCTCCATTCAAGCCCTACTCATGCCGTTTGGTGGCTGCGTAGCAGAGTGCAGACTTGGCAGCCGACACAGTACACACGGCTTTTTGGGACTGAATAATTCATTCAGCAACTGCTTACGTAATCTCAATAAGAAAATCCTCCATTCAAACAAAAACATAAATAAGCATTTGCTGATGCATGAGGCTGAGCGTGCACACACACACACACACACCTGAAAATAAACAATGCTTTGGCCCTCATTCAACTTCAGCAGAATCATTTCTGAATCAAAGACACGAACGATGCTGTCAAAATCCCCCAAAAACTGACATCTGTCAAGCCTCTGAATCTCTTTTCCTCCCAGATGGACAGGAGGTGGATTGTGTGTGTGTGTGTGTGTGTGTCATTATACAGTGTTTCCAACCCATTTCCATTCATGCCTGACGAGGTGATTCATCCC